GGAATTATAATACAATGCCTGGATTTATCATAATTGTAAGCTTTAAATACCAGTAATCTCACTTAATCAAATGAAGTACTAGGTAGTTGGTTTCAAAATGGCGCAGGAAACTGCACCATTATTTTGTGAGATATTTTGTGAGATGTACTATTGGTCAAGACTGTAATATGATAAATGGACAGACTGTCAATGCTGCCATTCAATTTTTAAAGTGCCCTACCTGTAATTTATTGTTGACAGGCAAGTCCTTCAAACAAARAGAGACAACCTTACCAAAGAATCCAATGAGTTTAAATCAGACTATGGCAAATATATGGCATCCATGTCCAAGAAAGTCACTGAGGGCAAAGTAGAACATGCWAGGTTAACTAATTATGTAAGTAAAGTGGTAGCATAATAAATGCTTATAAATACAGGCAAATACAAAATGCACAGTACATGTATTATAGCAATAAGGTAGTGTGTAGTCTGCGTTGTATTTGAAATYAGATCAAATAAAAATTAGTGTTATAAATTGTACATATTTTTGTTTAGAGAAGGAATTTATAGCAGGTAACTAAACTTGTTAGTGATGATAGCACAAATTTGAGCTCTTTTTCTACACTGGTTTCTATGCACTGCATTCTCACCAAAATTGCTTAAAAGTTCTTTCAACAAGGTTAACTAAATATATAGTTGTACATGTTATGGAGGGTCAGGAAATATGGTTACTTACTGAAGGTGCAGAGAAAGGAACAATTGCCTAATTGTTTAATTAGTAGTAGAAAAAGTGCTGAGAAAGAAGGTTATTCAATATGTAATTACACACAGTCATGTACTTGAATGTTTAGTACATGTAATTGTASTGCAGTTTGCTTTTCTCCAATACAACCCAAGAGTGCAGTGTTTCCGACACAATTGCAGAATTTAGTCTTCTCCACCATCTTGATGGAAGAACATGGTGTCAACATGTTAAATGCTGATGAACTCAATCTAATATAAAAATAATAAAATGTTTTTGAAGGGAACACAACTGCAAAAAGATCTCAAACAAGATGAAGTTGATATCATYAAGAAACAAAAGCAGCTTAAAAAAGCCAAGCAAGACTATACAAGCCTGCAAAAGAAACTCAAAGCTGAACTTAAAACATTGCAGGTAGGTATGGCTGCTCATCTCATGATCAGTTTGACCAACTCTTGTTAATAGACAGTTTAGACTACATTCACACGGGGCTGGTCAAGTTTGAGGACACCTCAGTTTTAGGACAGTTCCTGTACTGTTCACATGGAACCATCCACATTTCGGTACGGATTGAAACAGTGTTCACACAGATAGGTTCATGCTTCGAGGTGACCTGTCCTCAAAGTGGATCAGCATATTAGCTGGCCCCAAACCTGAACACTTTGCCAGCCTCAAATGAGGCCAGTTCCAGAGTTCCAGTGTGAACTCGCGTCTAAACTAGAACGGTTCCGAACGGAACCGGCCCTGTGTGAACGTGGCCTTAGTTGATCAGAGTGTACAGTGTACAGACRCTGAACAATGGAAACACTGATCAAGTTGAAATATTGATGATGATGATGATTTCAAACTTTTACCTGTCAGTGAATTATCCAAAAAAGCTACAACTCAACATCCACAACTATAAAAAGCTAAAAAATGGAAATGGAAACTGAACATCTTCCAGTGTATTGACCTCAATTTAGTCTCCTCCACAGGCATCTCCTTTAGGTCTTCTGTAAAATGTGGTCTGTGGAGGAGTCTATAACTTATAGTAATATTTAACAATGAGTTTTAGGATGTTTTGTGGCTGTTTACCTTATTCCTTTGTTTTCTTTAAATCAGGAAGGAATGGCAAGACTTGAAAAGCAGAAATCAGAAAAGAAAGAAATTATTGCTGATAAAACAGTAAGAAAATGTCGCTACACTACAACACTCTAAAACACACATAACCACCACCATACTCAAACCCTTCCTGGGACTATAAATTAACTCAAGCTCACTTTAGACTAAATACTACCCTGTATACACCATTACAATGTCCTGTTATCTTGTATTAATTACAGCCAGTGTTCAAAGACTTAGAATTGCAGTTCAAGGAAACTTCAGAGGCCTATGAAAAAACAAAGAAAAACATTGTGGGTAAGACTGTTGAATACATCAATGATAATCATATYCATGATAGCCCCCTCGCAAAGAGARGTTGCGTGACACGTGACTGAAACTAAACAYGGCTGCAAGGAGAGGAGGCTATATCSATGATGACCATGATCATARATTWAGCAGACTTCAAGATCAATATTATGATCTGCTTTACACTGATGAAAGTTAGTAATGTTTAATATTCCTTCAAAGATCTTAAAAACAAAAAGGCAAGTTTAGAAACATCAGTTCAGCGGGCTGAGAAAGAAGTAGAAAAGATGGCAGCACCACAGGTAAGGATAGAACTGTTTGTGGAGTTTGTGGGAGATTATACCCTCAAGTGGTAAGCACTAGGGTAGGCGACATAGCTGTGCTAGCCAGAACGACCTTTTTCATCTTTTTCCATATTATAAATTAACATCCTTCATTGGATCCATTATTTTCAGACCCAACTTCGTGAACAGCTAAGAGAATGTAGAAAGCAGACACTGGACCAGCTGAAGAACCATTCACAAGATGTTCAGAGTATAGAGAAGGAAATTTTTACCTCAGGACAGAAGCTTGGTGCTGTGCTAAAAGAAAACCACAGGTATTTCAATTCTCCTTCAAAACACATAAAATGCATAAAATAATGTTTGATATATCTTCAGAATTGACATATTTTATTGAATGTTTTCTTGKTGTATTTTATCTTTCATATTTGTGCATGATTCAAGATTAAAAGAGGTAACTACTTTATTTTGAAGTTAGAATTTTGTGTTGCCCAATGATTGCTTCATGCAGGCTCTATATCAGCTTCTCAGTAGTCCACTTCTGATTTTTTGGTTGACTTCCCTCAAGAGGGGGTGTGCAATAATCCAGCTTTTCTCTCCCAGTAGCCTCATCTTCAGTTCCTTTTGTGCATGAACAGTCAAACTCCATATGAATGTGGACTACAAGTTTATGTGGATTCCATGCAGGACCATAAATTTCAAATTGTCACCAATAACTAGTGACTGTCCACTACATGATTGTACACTTTAAATTCCAGGAGCCATGCATATTTTTAGCATTAGGTTTGACTTTTAACTACAGTATTTCTTCATTTCTTGAGAAGAATCATAATTTAATAATATTGTAATTAAAAATGATGTGTTTTAGGCAATCAAGAGCCTCAAGGTGGATTTGACTACCATTGATGGTCAAGTAGATGCCAACACTTCAACGAAGAAAACTCTTGATCAAAGGCTTGTTCAATACAGGGGTGAGTGCCGAGTGAGCAAGTTTGATAATTATGAATATCAACTGAAGGCTTGGTACCCTGCGAGCAGAGTGTATTTCCTTACCTCAATAAAAATTCGCGAATTTTTATTGAGGTAAGGAAATACACTCTGCTCGCAGGGTAAAGGCTTGGGGGTCTAGTTTAAAATGGGAAAATCACATTTCTAGATAAAGTTCACATTTAGAGCTTTTGTGCGTGCATGTACATGCGAAAATTTTAGGGACTTTCATTGTAATTGTTTATGACTCTGTCATTTCTTGCCATCAAGTAGTCATCATGATAATAATAATATAATTTACTGACAGACTTATTGCATCATGGATGGAAAGAAGACTTCATGCTTGATAAGGTAAATGACAGTTCCTGTGACATAGTCTGTTCACATATGGAAACCTAAAGTGCACCTGTCCTTTTATTTGATGTCACTGATAAGTTAGTTAAAATACACTACTTCGTTCTAATCATGGATGTCAATATGTTGCCGTTTGAATCTTGTCAATAGAATTAGCGTGAGCACAGCACTCTTTTGAACTTGGGTATCAAATGTTGCTGACTGTCCTAATAGTCTCCTTCACGGTTACCAGCGCCATCTTGAAAAGGTAGCTGTGTCTTTACATTGAAGCGAGACAACCGTTGAGCATGCTAAATGATAGAAACCTGTGAATAATTGTCTGTAGGTGTGAAATAGAGTTTCTATCATTGCCTGCTGAACGGTCATCTCGCTTCGATGCAAAGGCAAGGCTATCTTTAAAGATGGCGCACTTAACCATGAAGGAGACTATTGTCATTGCCCCTATCCTTATTAGGAGACCCTTCTGATCAAACTAGCCATTTATGACAAGAAAAGAAGTTCCACAGATTTCCATTACTGACAGTCAGTGTATTTTGTCATTATTTACTAGATGTATGCTGAAAAAGATATTCGTATTCTTGATGACATATCGCTTCTGCAAAGTGAAGCGCACACTAGGGAAGAGAGGTATGAACAAGGCATGGTTTCATAATTTGCATTGAAATGGACAGCTCTCGAAGCAAAGAAGTGGAAAATTTGGAGCTTTTTTGAAAAATCTCAGATCTGCCACTAATTGTGTTAAATAGTATGTCACATGGTAAATTATGCTTTTGCCTGAGTAGTATCACATGTAAAATGTTTTCTAAAGAGGGATTGTTTTCATAAACTGTTAAAAGGGACTTTCACTGGCGAATCCAGCACTAGTTCACCAATTGCATCATGAAACAAATCCGTGAAAATGAACCACTTTGTTTTATGATGCAAATTTAGTGAACTAGCGCTGGATCTACCAGTGATATTATCATTAAATGACTTCTTGCTTTTCCCCCCCACAGAATTGATACCATTCACTCTCAACTGGTAGAGCAGTTAATAGTTCTGACACATTTCTTAGATGGTATATCAAGCTTACGGCCAAAAGGTAAAGCTTATGTCCTTTAGACATAAAAAGAGCAACATACATGCATGAATTATGTTAACTTCCTTTAGCAGCTGCTCCTGTGTCGTCAGGCAACACTGGGGAGTAGCACTGCATGACAACACAGGGGCGACTGCTAAAGGAGACTAGAATTATGTTTAAGTGAGTAAATAACCGAGTTTAATTTAAATAAATCCAGATTCAATGCAGTCAAGGAGATCACAAAGTAGGCCTGCAGGTAAAGTATCTTGCACCATTTTCCATTTCCTAGTTTTAACATTTTCTTAGTGTTTAATTTTATTGAATGCATACCAGTAGGCCTTATTACATGGGCCTCGTAACTACTATAGCCTTCATTAAAAATAATTAAAAAGCTTATTGTCAATAAGCTAAAATGAAATGAGTCCAATTTCAATTCAGTGCTTATTGGAAAAATCCATTTGAAGTTATTCATATTTTTATATATTTTTTACAGAAAATGTAAAGCAAGACAAAGAATCATAAAAAACTATATATTTTATAATTTTATAAAAGATGCTTGTAAAAAATTGTAAATACCGAAACTGAAATATATTTCAGTGGGTGTGAAACTTTTATTAAAAGAGATGCGAGTTGCAATGTCATGAGTCCTTGATCTTTTCCCTGGTATACACGTAAGAAGGGCTAGTCTATGCTATACTGCATGGCACATTGATTCAAACTGATTTAAAACCTCTATTATGCGACATTAAAACTGAGACCTTTGCTAGTGTTGGGTTGTGATAAAGCAATGTTGACCTTGAACATCAGTTCTTTATATCTGATATAGAACTGATTAATAAAACATCAGTTCTATATATCTGATATAGAACTGATTAATAAAACAAATTATAGTGCTTTGTCAGGATATAAAGGCCCATCATGTGACCCAATGGTTCGATGCTCATTGGACTAAGAGCTCATGAATTATTAATGAGAACAAGACATTTCAAGGTAGGGTCATGTACAGCTTTATTGTTTATTTTTTCGGATTTGACTCACTGACAGTACCACTATAAAGAATTGAAATATAGTAAAATTCCTGGTACATGTTGTTACTACATTTGGATAAGTCATTTTCACATACTATTAGTAAGCTAGAACTATTTATTTTTCACCCTTTTTATACATTTTTGTGTTGCTTGAATAAGAAGACACTTATGAATTTTTTGTCAAAATTATGCATTGAGTTCTAAATTTAATTTTGAATCATTTGATAGAGTGGTTTTCATTAACACGTGAAACACGTACTTTAGCGTATTTATCGCTATTACACTTTGGCTCTTTTGTTTTTTGTCTCTACGCGACTATTACGATCCATTACACTCTAATTATTACACTTTGTTTCATGGGTTTATGAAAACCACTCTACTTGGGCAGAAAGTAACAAAGGAACTATTTTTTTCTGGTATTTTATATTTTCACCAAAAAATAATAATGGAGTTTTTGTTTGTAATGAATCACTACTACATGAATCTTGGCAGGAAATATCATTATAGAATTATGAGGTTGTTGGATAGAATTATTGGATACTGTAACAGGTGCATAGATGTTGGTACTCTATATCTCTTATTAGACAGTGTTATTATATGTAATAAGTGCTATCATTAAAAGTTATGCGCAAGTATTTAGTTTTCAGAGTTTAAAAACATTGCTCAATATGGATGTGTACATTGATCAAATATTCATGCCAACCCGAGAAAAAAAGAATAATTATTTCGATCCATTTAACACTACTCTCTTTGTCTGTGAAACGTTTAATCAGGGTGCATACCAGTCAAGAACTGAAACCCCCTTTTAACGTTGTGCTTGCAGAATTGGAGTTTATTTGTTGATCAAATACGGACTTGACGACTGCATTCACACTTCATTATTTTTTTTCTAAAGCTTTGCATTACATAGTTATTCGGAGAAGACAGTCTAGTTCTGTACACACAGCCAATGATATTGAGCTGGATATTGTATTAAACCCTAAACTTCTAAGAATAGTAAATAATTATTAAGATCTTTTATGTTAGGTCAGGCTCTTCATTCATGCTTTTCTTTATCCTAAGCAGGATGGTAGTCAACCACTGGTCTAGTCTTGATATACTGTCATACTCTTGTACCTATATCATACAATTCAAACATTAACTAATGGTTCCATCTGTTCACAGATCAAGTAATTCAATGAAAGAAAATCTCAAAGCCATGTGAACAGAAGCTATAAACATTAAAGCCAGTTTCACCACATCTGTGAAATAGCTTGCTACAATCCTGGACATATATTTTTACTTGGGACATTGCAACACGTAAAATAAGTCACAGCTTATCATTTTGACAGTATGACAAAATTCATGCCTCCCCTCCCATCCCCTAGCAATGCTGTGTCCATTTTTGTGTCCAGTGTATAGTAGAAATATAGAAGAAAAATACTTACTGCTTCAGTAAAAGCTTCTACATTCTGTTCTTCTTGTGCCTCAAGTAAATTCTGTAAACAAAGAAAGGTCACATCAGCTCAGTTACACAGTATAAAATTTACTATTACTGTATGAACAAAATACAGTGGAAATATTAGGCTAGTGAGTGAGTGACAGATTGATCAACTAACAATATAACTCTTTTTGAAACATGTGGTTCTGGACAGCTGAATGAGATGAATAAAAATCAAAATATGGATGACATCTACATGTAATAAAAATCAACTTCTGATTTTTTGTAGATGATACAACACAAAGCTGTATTTCTTTCTATGTGAGTCTTATCTCAATATTGGACAGTTTACAGAAAAGAGAGTGAGTGAGTGAGTGACAGATTGACTCACTACAATGGCTCTTTGACTGCTATTGTAATCTCTGAGTTAAAAATGAAAAGTAAATTATGATGTAAGTGTCACCTTGAGTAATTTGCACTCTCTACTGTCCTGGAATGCTGCATGCATATCACAATACTTGTCCAAAGCTCGCTGGGCTTCAAGGACATCTACACACATGTGACACAAGGCRGCCTTGAAGAAATATTCTTTGGCACTGTACTTTAGGATTGAACTCTCTATTGCAGTGGCTGCAACCTATATAACATGAATATCAAACACTTATGAAAAAGAGTATCAACAATAAACTCATAAAGAAGACAAGGAATATGTGCACACACAAAAAGGACCACTACAAGATTCTGGGAAAGAAGGGGGAGATGAAAGAAAATTGTAGGAATAGAGGCAAATATGATTGAAATACTTAATAAACAGTTACAAGATTTTTTTCAGGGAGGTGTAATCTATCTCCAGAGGATGGGTTGCACTGAACTTCAATGAGTGGAAAATAGGTACTGATCAAATTACAATGAATAGCATTCAGAAAAATCATCACAGACATATTTTTGAAATTGATAATGGGTGGATAACATCACTTTACCATTGTTGGCTTTCTTTCACCTCTATTTTCATATTTTAGTATAAAAACGAGCGACAATAAATTGCAACGTTTCCTTGTCATCCCGACAACATTTTCAAGCTACAGTGTTTCTYTAAAGTTCTACTAATCAAAATTTTCATATTTACTTCATAAATAGGATGGATCTATAAACAGCCACTGACTTTCTTTGCTGCACAAATTGTGTAAATGGTCTTTGAAAGGAAAATGAAACAGGAGAAAAAAGACCAAGTTACCTTCTAAGAGATACATGTACAGGTATCTAATATGTGTATTTTACCTGTTCATATATTTCAATTGCTTTGGGATAATTCTCCATCTGTGCACTGTACATGGCAACTTTAAGAGAACATTTATTGGCTGAGCTGTTTGATTCTTCTCCTCTGTAATAGTCAGCAGCTTGCTCATAATGATAGATTGCCTTTTCAAGATCAACCAAATTATTTTCATAGATTTCTGCAATTGTGATATGATTCTTGGCAGCCATTGTGAACCGGCCCTTGTGATAAAAAGGCAATTATCAATCACATGTGACAAATGTCAAATGACATTGAATAAGAACGGTGTTTGTAAATGACACTTACCATGTCTGTAAAAATGTCAATGGCACTTTCAAAACATTGTACAGATTCTGAAACATAATAATAATAACTTTATTTAAAACACCTTATGAAAATATGTACAGTGTTTTTTACAAGATATGTATAATAAATATATGTACAGATTATTTACAATATAAGGGAAAAAAAAGAAAGGTATAAAAAGTTCAATACATATTTAAAAAGTTAGAGTAAAATAGAATTAAAATTCAGTATAAGTACATATATAATACGTTAGAGTAAAAAAGAGTTAAATTCAGATCAGTTTCCATTCAAATAGAGCCAGACGTCAGTTGATACTTTGAATAGCAGGCACTTTCAGGTGAATTAAAAACCCTTCTAAATAGAAATATTTAACAATATATTCTACCTTCATTATCAGACTTTTTAAAACAGGTTCCAGCATCCACATAGTGCTGGGCTGCTTCATGCTTGCTTTGAAGGTTGAATTGTTGGATTTTGGCTGCTTCTACAAAGGCTGTCCCTGCAGCTACATAGMAAAATTATAAAAATTAGCTATAACTTGAAAAGAGAGTTTTTATGTTTAAAGCAGATTAAATGTAAACAACGCATGTATCAGCATGGTGGTTCTGGGGGGAGGGGGGTTGGTAGTAAGGGTGTAGGTGTTGATAAGAGATGAAAAGGCTGCTATTAAGATTACCTTGCTATGGCCACCAGAGGCCAGGCATTCTAATGGCTTAGACCTAGTTCTGACATTGATCATTTGTCATGTCTAATGTAATCGCTAGTGTTAAGTTTATGGGCTACCATCTAGTTCATGAATTTTAATACTTGGCATTTGTGTTTTTTTATTATCTGTAACTGCCAATTGATTTAGGCTGCAAACTACAAGCAAGAAATTAGACGCACCAAAAGATCCATGGCAGTCCATGACAAATTCAAGTTTAAAAATGTCAATTTGAGTTTTAAAGCTTATGGCGATTGGGCTTTGAGAGTGATTTTAAACTTTTGACGGCAAAGTGAAATCATAAACAATAGTGGTCATTCATTGACATTATAGTGTACAAAACGAAAGATTAAAATKGAAATGCCACTTAAATTAATTGAATTTCAGAGGTTTATGAAAGAGCTCTAACTTTGAGTTTCAAAAGTTCAAAGTTCTACGATTCTGGTCATCCATCTTACCACTCCAGTTCTTTGCGAGTTTGAACATATTTGCCGCTCGTATATACAACTCAACAGCATCTTCAAGTTTCGATGCACCCCTAACAATGAKAAAGCATTGGTAATCATTGAAAATTCTTTCTAACAAATGTATTACCTACTGGCCCTAAGACAAGTATCGACTTTCCTCTTACCCGAATAGTCCACCGAAAAATCCTTGCGATGACTTGACTTTCTTTTCTGCCTCGGCTAATAATGCAACAGCCTTCTCTTCATTAGACATGGCTTGTTKTGCACTAGATTACAGACTGATTTGCTGGTTTTTT